TCTATAAGCGTTGCCTCCAAAAAAATCCTGTAAATCTCTTGGGAACACAGGTGGTCAAATGTCAGAGTGCAGGAAGAAGCAAAGACCACCAGCACTGAAGCAATGCTCCTATGCCACCAACTCCACTGGGACTAGTCACGCTGTCTGAATGCCCGATCACCGTCTCCCAAAGCACTTACTATACTTCCAACTTAAGAATAGGAAACATAATGTTGGTGGACAGGAAAAGAGATTTTAAAATGGACTTAAAGCCAACCCTAAAATTGGGAAGCCCTTGCACTTGAGCACTCTAGCTGGAGGTCAGCTGTGACAAGCAGTGCTGCAGAATTTGAAGAGGCACGAATGGAGGGTGAAAGAGAGAAATGTGGCAAGAAGAAGGCATGTCAAGCTAACCCTCACTGGGACCGCTTTCCACCTGGAAACCCATGTCCTCACTGCGGGAGAACATGCGGATCAAGAATAGGGTCCCACAGCCACCTACAAACCCACCGGCAAGACACTATACTTGGAAGACCATCATCTTTGGGCTATAAGGGATTTCCTAACAACGACAAACAACAACAAATAAATCATCTTCATTTTATTTCTTACCCTTCTCTCCACATGGCGAGTTACAATCACATAAACACATAAACATTATAAAAATTCTATAAATACGCATATTCTCTAAAATGCATATTACAATACACAGAACAGAGATTAAACACAAGATACGAGTTTAAAATTCATGCTTAAAACTGGCTGTCACGTGACACTACAAACCCCATGATTCTATAGCAATGTAAACATTCTATAAAATACTCATTTTAAAACACATTTCTATAAAATACATATTAAAATACACAGAACAAAGACTAAAACACAAGACACGAGTTTAAAATTTAGAACTGAATTGTGAAGTCCAGTCTAGATATAAATTGTGTTTGGTTAGTTTGTTTTGTAAACATATCAAAGCAACCTTTGTCTAAGTATAAGTAAAAGTGTCAAAGGTACTTTGATACCACAGAATGTAGAAAACAAACAAACAGGGCAAAGTGGCTACATAGAGGGGTGATTCATTTGCCTCAAAAAGAGATACAGAGAGAGATTTCATGGATCAATGGGTCAACAGTTTATGCAGCTCTATCACTTATTACACTGTGAGCAGTTACTCCCATAGAAAAATCTATTCAGGTGATCATGCAAACTTGGGCTCTTAGTGACTTTAACAATCCTTCCAGTGCAGTCCTAGACATATTTTTTTCTTTTTTGAAAAGCTCAAATCTCTGTTATGCGCCTTCCACATTTCCATACACCAGTAGTTCTCAGTATCTGGGCCTCCAGCCATCTTCCCAGAACCTCTGACCATTGACCAAACTGGCTGTGGCTTCTGGAAGCTGAAATCCAAAACAGCTGGCGGACTGACATTTGAGAACCACTACTATACACAACCCTAACTTGCCTGTCATCGCCCACAATAGTAAAATGATGAAAATTGACTGCTACATTGTCCTGGGTACAAGCAAAACAGTTGCTGTGTTGAAATATTGTGGATTTCAGGACTGCCTGCCTCCACTTTTAGGGAGAACTCATGGCATTTTTCCTAAATCAACTGGGATTTTTAAAGAATGCAATAGAAACAGAAACAATTGTAAATATTTTCCTTAGAAATCATTCCTCTCCATTCATTCTCTTTGTGTGCAGGCATGCAGAGCAAGAGAATTGTGAAATAAGGATGTTTTCCTTAAGATCGTTGTTAAAGTCCTGGGATTATGACAAATGGCAGAAACCACTCTGAGTCACCCCAAAGGACCCCAGTGCTGCAGATGTTTCCATCTCTAAGGAGCAGGCCCCTGCGTTTATGCTGTCTCAGCAGCAGATCACTGAGTGAACCAGGATGGTGCTAGACAGAAATGAGTTCACTGGCAGAGCAGACATACCCTCAGAGATAAGAGTGTGCCAACTCCATCAGTGTGTTTCAACATATCTTCAGATTCAAAAGAGGGCCATTATGATCTTTTTTTAAATAAAAGAATTAAGATAGCCATACCAGTTTATTCTAAAGTTTGAACTATGTGGATATCAAGATTTAAAAAAGGAAGGTATTATTGCACAGAGCAAGTGTGACTATTTTAACATTGGCCAAAACAATAACAGCAAATTATAATTAGAGTTTATTCCAATGCAGCAATGTTTGTGCACATAATGATCCCTACAAGGCAAAACCGTATCACTTAGCATGTAGCATGGGTACACTAAGGCATTCCAGGCCAAGGTTGTAGAAAATGGGAGAATCTGAATGAGTCCCAGTCCCCAGAATGCCTATGTATTTGTGTGGGTCCTTGATATCTGCTGGAGTTTGGTTCCAGGTCCCCTGTGGATACGAAATCCATGGATGCTCATTGACATAATATACAACAGTGTAATATAATTGTGCTCCTTATAAATGGCAAAACCAAAGTTTGCTTTTTGGAATTTTAAATAATACTTTCAAGCCACAGATGGTTGAATGATGGATACAAAGGCCAACTGTAATGTGCTGTCATCTCCTATGGTATCAATGAATCTATCAATCCCTTTACATTGCAACTATCATCTCCTATGGCATCAATCAATCAATATATCTATCTATCAATCAATCCCTTTACATTGCAACCTGTGGCAGGTTGGATCAAGCCCATGTGATTTACAGTAAGCTTTTAGGTGTGTTCAAAGGAATAGTGTTCCTGGAGTACTTTGAATTCCTAAACATGCAATATTAACACTAAATACGATTAGCTCTGGCATTTGGGAAAATTGGCCCTAAGACAATACGTGCCTATGAAGGGAGGGCTGATACTGGTGATAGCATTTATAACAAAATGTGATTGAATATTGGATTTGGCAATTGTGTGGGGCCCTTTTTGCTACTATTGTCATTTGATGAATGCTTTAGTGAATGAAATAAAAAGCCAGAGTAATCCCTGCCAAGACTATCTACTGAGGTCATGGCTGAGGTAACATCTGAATTAGGCACACTTTCCACCTTTCAGTCTTGATCATCTTAACAGTAAATTCAACTGGGAATCTTAACTTGTTTTCTTCTCCTCTCTCCCCTCCTTCACCAGCCTTTTTGAAAACCTGGTTCATGGCTTTTGTTTGGGCTGTAGTAATCAACAGTCAAACATAAAGTGTGTCTTTGCAGAAGCTGTAAAAATGACACTTCAGTGTCCTGCCCTATTGGAAATTACAACCTTCTTCAAGCCTCCTCTAGTAATTTGTTTGTATATAATCCTGTTGCTTACTTATTGTATGTATGTTCTGATATGCAGCTTTCTTTCCTTGCTCTGTTTTCCTGAGAGGTTGTGGGAGGGGCTGCAGACTACATAATCTGTTCTGAGACTGCTCTAACCTCAGACTCCATTTTAGACCTAAGACTGTTTAGACTTTGAGATTGCTCAGACCAACACTTGCCTGCTGTTGACTGTAAGAAAGATGCCCTGTGTCATCTGCACATAGATATTATCTCAAACATATCTGTAACTGGACTGATAAGTTTTGAACCTGCGTATGCTGAACAAATAAAGTTGTGAGTAACCAAATACCGTATGTTATTTTTAAACAAGTCCACTTCATTTTGTCTCTTGAGTGCATAATATTAAACAAGTTGTTTTATAGGAGAATAGATGTGTTTTTGGGAAACTGAAAAACACTTCTGAAGCACTGCTATTTTGTCCACTGGCATATTCTCTGTTTTCCTTACAGATCGGAGACAACAGGTTATCAGTCTAACAACTGAAGCCAAATTGCCTTGCATAATTACATCTGGTTGTATATCACTTGAGAAGATTCTACTCAAATGAGTTTTTGGCTTGTCTTTTAAAAGTCATGCTTTTCAAAAAGGTTATGATCTCCAAATGGTTACGAATGCCATTTTCCAAAATGTCCCTAAGAGAAAATGGTGCATAATCATTTGTTTATCTCCAATGATGGATTGTGGGTATTATGGGTTGTTTCCCTCTATCTGTAATATGAGTTATGTCTTTGTTACAATGGGAAAGGCGGCTTTGACAGAGTCTAGAAATAATGATGGGCTTCCGCTCTCCATAGAGATGGTTGTTATTAACTGCCGTCAAGTTGATTTTAACTTACAGCAAGCATATGGATGAGAAACCCCCAGGATACCCTATCAACAAAAGTCTTGCTCCGGTTTTCCAGCCCAGACAGTGGCTTCTTGGATTGAGTCTATCTATATGGCACTATCTCTTGTTTCAATTTAGATTGCCTCATCATAGGGCTCATCATTGTGAAAGACACAATCCCTCCTTCAGTGCAGTCCTAACAAGCATTACCTACAGTGCCTTTGAGGGATCCTCCACCAATGTCACGCCAATGACTGCTGCCGCTCAGTGGTTATTTGTCACATTTAGACTGGCTTTTGTCTCCTCAGCAAAAGCCAGTCTGACACGGAGGACCTACCAGGAGCACTACTGCCATCAGCATAGCCTCATGCCTTACTGAAGCACACAATCCCACCACCACAGAAGGGTAATGCCATTGGTAGGCCCACAGAAGTACCACAATTTTACTAGGACCCTATTCATACTACACAATTATGGTACTATGGTTCTCTATGAAATCCTAGGATCTGCAGTCCAGGGAGGGGCATTTCAGATTATCAATCAGAGAGCCCTTGTGCTTCCCTAAACTAAAAACACCAAGAGGATTCCAGAGGATGGAAGCATAGCAGGTAAAATGGAACAGTAACTGCACAAAGGGAAAGGGCACTAGGAGGCAAATTGAGCATTGGCCACAGCTAATCTAACCTAATTACAGAATGCAAAAAAAAAGAGTTCCTTTTCAGGCAAGAACTCCCAGCATTGCCCGGTGGCACAAGCAGGAGCCCATCTTCACTGGAGATTATGAGAGTAGTAGTTAAAAGATGGGGAGGTTTCAAGCTCTGCCTGGTTGTGTCCCTCTAAATTTTTACTCATCAATGAAAGGAAAACAATACATGAAACAAAGGAATAAATCACACTTACTTCTTGTTTTGTCAATTTTGCTGCATCCTTGCCTTCAGCACTCTCTGGAGACTAGGAAGAAAACAACAAAATTAAGTTGATTGTTATACCACACTCCACAGATAATCAAACATACTACAGCAAAAACATACTACAAACATACTACAGCAAAAAATAGAAAACAATATTCAGAGCTTACACTAGCCCTGTAAAATCAATAGTTTAAACAGTGTATGCCATCCTTATTTCAAAAACATTCTGGAGTAGTTTTTGTTAACTACTTTTTAGCCGGTGGCGCAGAGGGTTAAAGCATTGAGCTGACCGTAAGGTCACAGGTTCGAATCTAGAGAGCGGTGCTAGCTCCCAATGTTAGACCCAGCTTTTGCCAACCTAGCAGTTCGAAAACATGCAAACGTGAGTAGACCAATAGGTACCGTTCCAGTGGGAAGATAATAGCACTCCATGCAGTCATGCTGGCTCCATGACCTTGGAGACATCTATGGGCAATACCAGCTCTCTGGTTTAGAAATGGAGATGAGCACCACTCCCAGAATTGGACACGACTAGACTTAATGTCAGGGGAAAACCTTTACCTTTACCTACTAAAATTGATTTGGATAGCTTTTTCTTAAATTGCACACATTTTTTTTGTCTATTTGTTTGTTTTGTTATTTTAGAAATGTAATACAATTGTCTGGTTGTCCCTGACACGATAAAATAAATAATAAATTGCACAAAAACTTGTACTGGCTAATTTCTAGAAAAGAGTGACATAAACTTGACTGCAAGGCATGACATTAGTGCCACTGATTGAAATGCTTCTCATATACCAATTTTAATCAGAGATGGCTTATTTGACCTTACTGATCTCAAAAAATGTTGCTAAAGCGGGCTTTCCATCTCTGACAAAAACAGTGTTTATGACTCCACATATTATTTTCAATATTTTTACTATTTTCCATTTAGACTTCACAACAAATGGCTACAACGAAAATGGGGGTTAAATCCTTTACTGGCAGCTGAGTACATTAAATGTTTAGGCTAATGCAGGCATAAGAGAATGAAATTGGAAAATGTACTGTATTTAAGCTTTACTCAGTATGAGACAAGCACTCAGACAAGAAACACTTGTGCTAAATATGTAATTTCCTTGCATTGACACATGACAGCAGCAGAATCTCTCTATAGACAAAATGGCAGATTTGCAAAACGGCATTTAAACACATGTTAAAGGTCTTCAGAATTCCTTAGGACTATAACCTCAATGCAGAATCCTTGGCTAAATGTAACCTTTCAGAAAGGTGGGAATTACTTTTTCTACAGAGATGCTAGATCAGTTGCCTTGTAGCTTAAAAGAAATAGCATTTTCTTCTCTCGGTGACAGTTTCCAGCGGATTAGTAAGGTTTGTTCGCAGACTGCAAAGGAGGCATTAGTGGGGGAAAAACAATCAGTGACTGGTCAAGGTAAAGGCATGAGGAGGAGTCCTGAAACCTCGCCTAACAAGGATGTAGAAACCTACAGGGAGTCCAAATGTTTATCTTCCTCCTGCCTTGCCACAAATGTCACTATTAATTAAGGAGATTCACAAGCCAGAAAGAACTGGCCAAAATAAGTCACGGAAATTATATTTCAAATCCCCCCAGCCCTTACATCAGTAGTACTCAACCTGTGGGTCCCCAGATGTTTTGATCTTCAACCCCCAGAAATCCTAACAGCTGGTAAACTACCTGGGATTTCTGGGAGTTGTTGGCCAAAACATGTGGGGACCCACAGGTTGAGAACCACTGCTCTACATAGGTTGTACTCTGCCTGGCAAACTGCTCTAGACAAACAAACTGGTGAGCACCTTGTGCCAGCAGTTTATAGTTTTCTTCTGCAGACAACTCTGGTACCAGAGTAAATTCAATTACAATTCTGTTACAAAATAAGAGGGTTGCTCTTTGAAACTCAAATGCCATTGCTGTCAGGAAAAATTAAAATGTAATCAAAGTCTCAGTGGCGCCTTTAACTGGAACAAACACTCAATTACACATGTATGATCCCTCAGTTTATTTTACAAGGCAGTATGGAACAGAAGTGAAGACAAAGTGAGGGGGAGTATAATCAGCAAATGTATTTTGACAGGGATGCGGAGGGACTGATAGGCAGCTTCCACACATGTATGTGTGACAGTTGAATTCCCATCAACTTGAGCAAGCCTGAAATGATGAAAGTAACAACACCTCTCATTAGAAATGAAACTGATATAGCCTGATCTATGCATGCTTAGTCAAAACTAAATCTCACTATGGATGCATCTGCACTATAGAATTAATGTAGTTTGGGACCATGGTTCAATGCTGCGGAATTCAGGGAGTTCCAGTTCTCCAAGGTCTTTTCCCTTCTCTACCAAAGAGAGATGGGGCCTCACCAAACTACAACTCATATGATTCCAAAGCATTGAGCAAGAGCATTTAAAGTGATGCCAAACTGCACTGATTCTACAGTTTAGACCAGTGGTTCTTAACTTGTGGGTCCCCCAGGTATTTTGGCCTACAACTCCCAGAAATGCCAGCCAGTTTACCAGCTGATATGGATTTCTGAGAGTTGAAGGCCAAAACATCTGGGGACCCACAGGTTGAGAATCACTGCTAAGCCATCACTGCTCTATACCATATGACTTCTCATGAGCAAATCATGAGCAAATTAAGTATGTGTTAACACCACGATGGCAATCCAAGTTGTAACACTTTACAGCTTACTTCCAAAGAAAAAAAAAACTAAGGGAGTATTTAGTTTCAGTTTTGCACTGCACTAACTGAATAATATAATTGGCAAGACTGTACCCTTTAAAACAAGGATTTCTTATAAAAATTATTTGCTACCAAGAATTTAATGATGCATTTGTTCTGTCGCGTGCTGGGCCTGTAAATAGTTGTCTTTAAGACAGGACGTGCAACCTTTGCCCAACGGGAAGCCAGGGGGCCTAAAGTGAAGTTCTCAGAGGTTTCTGCCACAAACAGTCTTTAGATGGTTTGAGAAGTACAACAAAGTCTTTTATTAATGAACAATCAAACAGAAACTTCTCTTGTCTTCAGTAAAGTTAAGCAAATAATTCCAAGCTTTTAGGTAACTGGTGAATTCCTAATCTTGTCCACGAAGGACAGGCAACTATCTTCAATAACTTCTTCTTTAAAGGAAAATCCCCTTTTTAACTTCTCCCAGGCGGACTGAAACTTAAACCTAACTGATGTGGGCACCACTACCGGGTTGAACTGCGTCTCAAAGCATCGAGTGGACCTACCAGCAAGGCCTGTAGTCTCTTCAGCTGGAGTTCTTTGATCTTTAGGGCTGTTTCCCTGGAAAGTCTTTGGAGACTCTTTTCCTTCTGTTTCTGTTGGAATTTCTGTAACCCTGGAAATTCTTAAAGATTGAAGTTTTTGTACAGGGGACGTTTACACACGTCCTGTACATTGGCTAACCTAGCTGAGACTAACTAAAAAATTGGCTCCCTTCCCAATTGCCCTGAGCAAGGGGCGGGACCAAAACTTAATGATGATGGACAGGTGGCTTGCCCTATAACTGCAACCAAAAGAAGCCACCTATCTGCAGAGTCCCTGAAACCTAGGACTGCAAACAAACAATGTAAAGCAAACAAAATTGGAGCTCCTGGTACAGCTGTATCAGAACAGCATTCATACTGTAGAATTGCAGTTTGACACTTCTTTAATTGACATAGCTCAATGCTATGGGGCCATGGGGGCTGTAGTTTTACATGGTCTTTAGCCTTCTCTGCCAAAAAGTGCTGGTGCCTCACCAAACTACAAATCCCAGGATTTAATAGATGCACCCTGGATTGCTCAACTTTCAGTTCTTTCTTTTCAAGCTTTATTACATTCAGATATGGATTTATTTTAATGGAAACTATGGTCCAAACAAAATTTGTTCCAGACTTTAAAGGTTAAGAGGTTTTTGAAAAAATCTTTGGATTAATGTCAAGCCTGATTAATGTCAAGAGCTTTGCCTACTCAAGGGCTGAGTTCGGAACCTGCAGGCAGAAAGTCCATGTGATTCTTCCGATATGGTGTCAATACTGGCATTGGTTGAATAAAGGCAACACTACTCTTTTATGGTCTTCCCTCACTCCCTCATTCACAGAAAGTGATGGGGGGTCTCCTTGTGCCTCCAGTCTGGTCTTTTGGGTTAAGGGCCCCTCCATAACACGGATAGAAGGTGGTTGGGAGTGGAGAGGCAGAAGAATGGGTGACCCCCTCATTGCTTTCTGCCAGGACAAATACTTCAAATTGCACTGTATTCCAGGGCAGAACCAGCCCATGGAAAAGGAATTTGATCCAATCATGATATTTTCCAATAATAATAATAATAATAATGATGATGATGATGATGATGATAATAATAATAATAATCCCTTAACAATAATCACAAAGCCTCTTAAGTTATGGTAAATCTTGTATTGTGGCAAAAATTTGAACAAATGCCAAAAGCCGAGGGGAACAAAGAGAAGGAGGCGAAGGGTAAATTGGATTCTCTAAGATATTCTTATCTAATTGTAAATTATTCGTTCGCAGAATCTCCTGAATTTAAATGCCCGTGTGGCTACGAGTTAGTGATGAGACCAAATGTATTGATAAGCCTTGCCTTATTAACTGCTTCAATTACCATTACTGCCGACTGAAGTGGAAAATATTCCCAAACCAGGCCAATAACTCAGCAAGGCCTCAGAAATCATAGCTGTGGAAAAATTGCTACAAACTTGACCACTCTTATCACCTTCAATAGGAAAAACAGCAAAATCTAAAAAAATACTTTGGACTTCTGCCTCCTGCATATTTATGGTCTCTTTCATTCCCTCCAAAACTACAAAAGTAAGCCAGTGACCAAGCTTCCTTTGTAAACATAACTTGACACCTCTCTTTTGTTGAATATTTACATTTACTTCACAGAATTTAGAAAATCTAAGGGCACAGTAAGCAAAAACCATTTTGGGGGCACCCCGCTCCCAAATCAGAGAGGCTGGGGACCACAAAAAATGGCTCAGGAGAGCTGCATCCTGAGAGCGCACAGCTGATCT